ATATATATATATATATATATATATATATATCCATGAGTGCACGTGGCCCCGCAGAAAGATCCATCTGAGCGTCTGTTTTATCCTAATGGAGTTGGTTCATAGAATTTGTTATGCACCTCATAAATTAAACTGCTCACAGGGTAATGGAAAACACTCAACTTGAAGGAGAAATTCCAGCAACACTCTTCAACCTCTTTCAGTTGCAGACAGTGTGAGTGTCCTTTTACCTTTAGTCCATGGTGCATGTCTTGCAACTATTCTCTTTTCCTGCTATGTGATAGTAATGTAACAAAGTTTTTAAGGAACATCAAGTGATCTACTATATGATTCTGTATTTTGCATTTCAATTTTATGACCATGAGTTGGTTCCTTATGACAGCATCTTGAGGGGAAACAAAATCAATGGAACCTTGGATATTGCGTCCAACTATGGAAGCCAATTAAAATTGATTGATTTGCAGAACAATTACATCGATTCATTTACAGAAAGACCTGGATATCGTTTTCAATTAATGTAAGCTGTCCTCAAGCCACTTTTTCTTCACTTTAGCAATGAGAAGAGAAATACTGGATAATTCCTGTTAGGACAATTGATTCTTCTGAATCCCATTTTATAATTTTAACAATCTCGGTTTTCGACTTGTTCACTTGGCAGACTTATGCACAATCCAGTTTGTCAAGAAGGAGGATCAGAAAACTATTGTGGCAACCCCCAAGAGAACTTTGGATATTCAACCCTACAAGATAATTGCTTCAGAACTCAATGCAGTTCTGATCAAATTCCTAGCCCTACCTGTAAATGTGCCTATCCGTACACTGGCGACCTATATTTCAGAGCTCCTTCCTTTTCTGATTTGACAAACACAAGTATTTATGTGTCACTTCAACAGTCTATGATATCTTCTTTTAGCCAACATCAGGTGCTAGTAGATTCAGTTTCCTTGAGTAATCCGAAAAAGAATTCAGATGACTACCTTGTATTACACCTGCAAGTTTTTCCATTTGGCCAAGATCGTTTCAACCGTACAGGGATTACCACAATCGGATTTGAACTTAGCAATCAGACTTTCAAACCCCCACCAAATTTTGGACCATTCTTTTTCATTGGTGAAAGCTACAACCACTTTGAAGGTGATAAAACATTTCATAGATATGTAAATATTTCTTATGCACAAGTTTCATCTATTTATGGTCCAGGATAAACAATATGAAAAGCTAATAACAAAGAGAAGTAGTTGTGCTCAAATTTCTGTATACGCTGTTAGAGAAGGGACATATTCAGTGAAAATTCTTTTTGATAATGGGTGTTGGTGAGACTTGAAGACATGACCGTTGCCTGCTCTGATACCATGTTGGAGTGTGGGAGCACCTCATCTAAAAAGCTCAAACTATTAGAGGAGGGATACATCTATTTGTTTATGTTTGGTCTGATGCAAAGGGAAGACACATATGTCTTGTCTTTCCAGTTTCCACTATGTTTCTATCGTTGCAATGGCGAAGGCAATACATTGATTTAACATTAGGATCTTTTCTTGATCTCTTTGCAAATCAGGAGAGGTGAGAGGTTGTCCTTGGGGTCAGAGGACGGGGTAGAGGTAGGCCAAAGAAGTCTTGGGGAGAGGTGATCAGGTGGGACATGGCGCATCTAGAGCTAACCGAGGACATGACCCTTGATTGAAGGGTGTGAAGGTTGAGGATTAGGGTAGAAGGTTAGTAGGCAGTCGAGTGTTTCCCCTTGTCTTATTGTTTCCATAGTATTAGTGTTAGTATAGTATTATTTTTATCCTTAGATGGCTATTACTACATATCTTGTATTGTACTTGTTATCGGTGCTTCTTTCATCTTGTATCTTGATATCTTAGTCTCAGTTTTCTAAATATCTTGTATTGTCCTTACTTGATATTAATGTTTCTTTCATCTTTTCTTTAGCTGAGAGTCTATCGGAAACAGCTTCTCTGCCCGTCCAGGATAGGGGTAAGGCTGCGTACATCTCACCCTCCCCAAAACTCAGTTGTGGGAATACACTGGGTTGTTGTTGTTGCTTTAACATGTTGCAAATACTTTGCTTCACTGTATTAGCAAATTTTAAAGAATACTGCAATGCTATTGTTATAACTAAATTAGTACTTAGTAATTATTAGCTTGATGGATATCATGCTTGGGCACTGAATGCAGTTAATGGATGATAATACAATTTAATTTATATATCTGTTACTAGAGATTTAACTGTACAGGTATTGTGCTTAACAGTTGGATCAAGAGGATCTCACAAGTCAATTGCTAAAGTAATTATCATTGGAGCAGCTGCTGGTGGTGTTATCCTTTTAGTTTTATCACTTATTATAGGAGTTTATGCTTGCCAAAAGAAAAGAGCTACAGAAACTGCTAGAAAGAGTGATCCTTTTGGTGAGTTCTCTGATTGTTCTTTAGTTTGTATCTATCATTTTATTTTTTATTTTTTTTTGGCTGCTGGTTACCATCTTTTTTTTTATCTATCCAGCTACATGGGATTCAAATAAAGACAGCGGTGCTGTTCCGCAGTTAAAAGGTGTAAAATCTTTCTCATTTGAGGAGCTGAAAAAATACACCAATAATTTTTCAGAAATCAATTACATCGGATCTGGTAGTTATGGAAAGGTTGGTTTCTATTGACTTTTGATAATACAATGTTATATCATGATGACTGATTAAGAAACTGTTGTTTTAATTTAGTTGTGGAGACTATTTTCCAACACTCGCATTTAAAACTGCATTATGCCTCGTGCTATCAGTATTGCCTAGTTGGAAGTTGGAACCTAAGAAATGTTTGGATCCATAATAACTTTATGTTATTACACTACTTTTAGGGTAAGGGGAAAAGAGATGGGGAACAATAGAACTTTTGTTCGTTGCGTCTACAGTCCTGGTCTGTCATAAACAGGTCTAAATGTTTTGCTTTTCATGTTGAGGATTCCGCTGGATTATTATAGCTGATGTCTGGTTGAGTAATTTGAGAATTGTAGCATTTCCACTGAGGATGAGTTCAATTCAATGTGTAACATTACCAGCTGACAGTGCATTAGTTAAAGGAGCTCATATAGAGAGCAAGAAGCCTTGTGAATAATAGCTAGAGCAGATTCTAATTTCTATCCATACTATCTGCACTATCCTTGGACATTAGCCCTACAAACCAGCAAAAGTTACGAGTCAAAAAATATTTCCAAACCAACTTTTTGCGAACATACAGGTATACAGAGGCACACTTCCAGATAGACAACTTATTGCAATTAAAAGAGCAGAGCAAGGATCTAAGCAGGGTGCCCTTGAGTTTAAAACTGAGATTGAGATTCTCTCTAGGTTTCATCACAAAAATGTTGTCAGCCTTTTAGGCTTTTGTTTCGGGCAAGGTGAACAGATGCTGGTCTATGAATATATACCAAATGGCTCCTTGAAAGAAAGTCTTTCAGGTATATATGTGAACTCCTATTGACTGTTTTAAAAATCAGCTGTAAGGGATTACATGACCCGCGCCTAATGTCAATTTGTGCAGGAAAGTCTGGGATTAAGTTAGATTGGAAGAGGAGACTTCGGATAGCTCTTGGAGCAGCCAGAGGATTGCAATATCTTCATGATCATGTTTACCCTCCTATCATCCACCGAGATATCAAATCAAATAACATCTTGCTGGACGAGCACTTGAATGCCAAAGTTGCTGATTTTGGTCTCTCCAAGTCAATGAGTGAACCAGAAAAGGGTTACGTCTCCACTCAGGTTAAAGGAACAATGGTAAGTCCAGACCTTACTAAATGCGTAAGTTTGATGTTGTCATATGGTGGTGTTTTTCAGTTTCTATAAGTAAAATGATCTCACGTCTTTATTGGAGTATTATTAGAACATAAAACAAACAAAAGAAAGAAAACCCACGAGCAGAAAGTGTGTGATACAATTTTCTCAGAGACATTTTTTGCTTGATAACGTGAGAAAACTTTTGCATGACATTGCTTTCTGGTTTCAACATAGAGTATGAAATTTTGGAAGTTTTAAACCTGAACACTTGATTTCAACATTGCTGAAGAATTTGTAACTGAACATATTCAATGAGCTGTTGTGTACGTTTATTTGCTTAGGGCTACATGGATCCAGAGTATTACACATCACAACAATTGACTGAGAAGAGTGATGTCTATAGCTTCGGAGTTGTGCTACTAGAGCTTATAACAGCAAGGAGTCCTATTGTGAGAGGAAAATATATTGTGAAGGAAGTGAAGCAAGCAATAGATAAGTCTAAAGACATGTACAACATTGATGGTTTCGTTGATCCCACTATCCCCTCAAGCATGACACCTATAAGCTTCAGAAAGTTTGTAGATCTAGCTTTAAGGTGCGTCGAAGAAGCAGGAGTTCATAGGCCAACAATGTATGAGGTCGTGAAAGAGATTGAGAATATCATGGAAATGGATGGAATGAACACTTATGCTGAATCTGGATCAACTTCTGCCAGCTGTGAAGGAACTAGCATAGCCTGTGGCCATCCTTACAGTGAAGAAAGTCTAGTTAGCTACAGCGGGGGCACCAATTCGCAGTAAGTGTACAAATCTTACTCCTGGAGCCAACAGCTTTTAATTAATGTGCTTCGGCATTGAGCTACATGTACATGCCAGAGAAATGGGAAGTGATATGTACATACAAATCGTGTCCTTGTGTACATTATATTCTCTGTTGGTGTTTTTGCATAGTAGAGTAGTAAGAGCAGTGAGTGAACAGCCTTATACTAGAACTGATCCAAAAGTTGAAGTATGTTTCTGAATTCATATCAATCTTGTATTTCCTGTCTGACATTATATGCTTAATTGTTTGGAAATATTAATTTCCTTGCATGTTAGCCTTTGGGCCTCCTTTGTGCTGAAAATTGTGTCTCTGATGTCTAGGCTGTTTCCTCAGAATAATTAATGTGTACAGCTAGTCCATTTACTCCAATTAGGTAAAGGTGCAACATATAAAGCTCTCCGACTTGACCAATCTATGAAATTTTCAAGTCCCAAAATCTCTCATTTTTAACCAAATCGTAAATTCCTAATACCTAACACATGACTTCCCTATAGGCAAAATCTAATTTTGTTGGCCAGTATTGGAAGTTTTTGTGATCTTCTTTTTCGAGGACGGACCAATAGTTTAATGGTGTTGACTGGCAGGAAAAGGTCAATTTTTACAAAGTGGTTAGGATTAATTAATGGGTTATTGAAAGATATGTCACATACGATAGGTAGAATCGTTTATGAGAAATTAATATGTTATTGAGAGAGCAAAAAGATGTTATTCAGTATGCACGAGTTTTAATATTTTTCTTCCATTTCGCCACAGAAGAAACAAAAATCATTTAATCATTTGTCATCGAAACCATTAATATAAAAGAGAAATTTTGGGACTGGAACCAACAAATCGGGCAAAGACAAGTTGAATAGCCAAATTAATTAGTTTTAACCCCTAACAATCTCAAATATGATAAGGGATTCAGTTTTTTTTTATATATATATATATATTAATGGCGTAAATAAATGTTTACCTTTTGTTATTTACCAAAAAATACTGTTTATTTTTCAGTGTATTTAATATGTCATACCATCTTGCATGCCTAACTTTTCGGCCTATTAATCCCACGTATATTACGAACGCTTACTTATAGTTATCTTTTAGAAGACAAGATAAGAGGTATAAATTAGCTCTTTTCTTGATGTGCTCTTTTTGGTGCAAGAGAAGGTGACAACTACTGAAAGCCAATGCCCAATTAATCATGCTAGTTCGATCGAAACAAGAAGTTTATAATCATAGCAGCAACCACTTGGGAAATTAATGAATGGATCCTTATATATAAAGATGCTCCTGCCATCATATTGTCTTTTCAACTTTCAACAATATTCGCATATACTTATGATATTGGAAACTCCACCAATTCATTCATGCTATATAGCTATCAATGGTTACATATTTACAAATGTTATGATTCAAAATTTCAAAACTTTTCTTAGTAAAAATTAAGATGCATGGTCCTCCGGACTGGGAGTAAGGGACGACAACAACAACAACAATTCAGTATAATTTCACTAGTGGGGTTTGGGAATGGTAGTGTGTACGCAGACCTTACCTTTACCCTGGGGTAGAGAAGTTGTTTCCAAATGACCCTCGGCATCCTTCCCTCCAAGAACTTCTCACCTTGCTCTTGGGGTGACTTGAACTCACAACCTCTTGGTTGGAAGTGGGGGTGCTTACCATCAGAACAACCCACCTTGTCGACCGGGTATGGGAGATTAGGGATTTCACTATGATCAAAGAAGTTCATATTTATATATTCAAAACTATATAATATTACTCACTTTTTCTTCCGCTTTTTTTTGTGTTTTTTATTTGTTTGTACAGAGTAGTAATCAAGTACTATCATCACTATTGGTAGGGCTAGCTGAGAGCACTTGCTTTTTAAGGTTATCAATTATCATAACCAATTTTGTGTTGAAACGATTCACAAAGCATTTTGGTAACCATCCTGCTGGATCCAGCTGAAATTTAATCAACAAACAAAAAAAACAAGGATTAATTTCAAGTTCTGAATTAGGAATTTGCATTTTATGAAATTAAAAAATAATTTTCGCTAACGGACAATTAAGTGGATGAAAATAATAAGAAACTGCGGTTCAAATTCTCTGAAAGACAAAAAAACTTTGTGATTTATCCCATCTGCCTAAAGCCCTAAACCTTAACACACAGAGTTCCACAGTACTCGCGTTGGCAAGAGGTACAAGTACTTGACGCAATAACAGTGACGAAACTACAAAATTAAATAAGGGTGTTCAAAACCTATTTTTTAATCAATAACAATTAATATTTTATTTTATACGTAGTATTATTTTTCGGCGAAGGGTGTTCAGTTGATCACTCTAGGGCCAACATAGCTTAACCCCTGCGCAATAGTCGAGGCACATATGCAAGTTGATCTGCACATCACTATTATAAAGAAAATAATGATATTTTTTTATTGAAAATTTTAAAGAATTACCTGGACAACGTAAGTAACCATGCAAGAGTCATCGTGAAGTTTCTCAACTACCCATCCAGATTGCAACAATAGGCCTCGAATTGCATTGCTTTGCTTTGGGTGCAACCCTGCTGCTATTTCTTTAGGCAAAGAAGCTACTGCTACTACCTGCAATTTAAAAAGAAAAAAAGAAAAAATTAATTCATTCTACATAATTTTTCAAACAGAAACAAAAATAATTTAATAAATTAGAAGTATACCAGGGTTCCATCATCCATAGTTTCACGACGTTCGTAGACAATAAATTCTCTGTTTCTGAAGAGAGGCTTTGAATTGTCCCCAAATCTAAGCCGTATAATACTCAGGTTATCTTCTAGATCCTTTATGTATCTTGCTTCTACTAAATCTCTGTCCCATTGCTGTAATTTTGTCCAAAAAAACATATATTTGACGGCACTTCATTATAGTAAAAATATATATCGAAATAAACAAGACTATTATAGAAATGTTTGATTAATAGATAAAGGCCAACTTGCTAATTTTGAACTCACCCTAGCAGCATCAATGGCATTAGCCACAGTAATAAACTGTTGAGGAGATACGGATTTCAGCAACCAACGGCTACGGAAAGTGTGAAGTGAACCTGAACGGCGTTTCGATATCTCCACGCCGTTATCTAACCCAAGTATTTTCCAGCCGTCATTATTCCCACTTTTTGAATCTGAAGCTGATAACAACTCTTGGATGCAATTTTCACTTGCATAGAACACATATCTTCTCAACGAGTCCTCACTAATTGACCTACACAAACAGAAAATAATCTCGAATTTAACTCCCGTTTACAGTAACAGACAACTTTTCATAGCAAGTCCGATATGATTATCTCAAAAATAGTTTAACAAACTACTCTATATATTCAGTTAAATTAACTTACCATGATCTACTACAAGGTGTAGGACTAGAAGTATTACTCATCTTGAATAATTGTACCAAATTAAACTTATAGCCACAAATTAAAAGAATGAGAAAGTTTAAGAATGGTGTTGTTTAGTTTTGTTCCTCAAACTCAGGGAAAAGATAGATGAATTTAAGAAGAATATATATGGCTGAGAGGGGGTAGGGGAGTAGCAGTGGGGTGGGTGGTTGTTACATCAAAGTACAATCTTAGATTGTTTTGAAAGAAAAGATATGGAAGTTATATACTTTATAAATCTGTAAAATAATAAGAAGTGGGAAGAGGTGATTGATGCACATGGAATGCCAGAGAAAAACTCCATGATTAGAACAGACTACTGCTAGTCATTATCTTCACTCTTATTTCAATTCCCTCTATCGATTTTTATTTTTCTTAGCTAATATACATAAATTATATATTGATTATATACAATTATACATTTGTTATATATAAATTATGCATATCCGTCGGTTATTTTTAATTTAAGCAATTGGATGAGTGACTATTTAAATTAATTCTTCGTCTTTATTTTTCATATCTTCTCTTACTTCTTTTTCTCTCTTTTTTTTTTTCTTCTTCTAACATAAAAGAAGCTACCAAACATACCATGTGCATCATCTTCCCCACTCCCTTTAGCCCCTTTGTACCTCTTTTTCGAATAAAAGCATCTTTCTTTTTTATCTACAAAAAAAAAAAAAAAGAAGATGAAGAAAAAGACTAACAACTAAAGCCAGACTAATATTGCTCACAATTCATTTATTTTCTACCTAAACTTGCTTGGTTATGGGCGACAACAACATACACAAAAGGTTCCATCTTTTAACTTTGGTCCCCTCAATCACGTGCCACTTAGCTAACTCACAAAAATGTAACACAGCAAATACCCTAATAGACAAAAGTTAAATTACTTTCTTACTGAAAAAGAAATTAGAGTGTTATTTGCTTTACAATTTTTTTTTTTCTTGTATTTAAAATAATAAATATGAATCCATTCAAAGTACTAGAATAATTCTGCAGTAACAGTACCTGCTAAACCAGCCAAATCAGTTCTCTGTACTTGAAAAGTAAAACAGTTTCACTTATTACTTTTATGGTATTTTATAATTTATCTTTCGGTGATCGAAAAAAAATCAGTTTTGGAGCTATTATGCTGAATACTGATTCTCTCACAGTAACAGAGCATGGAGTTGTAAGGAATTCAAGAAAGCATCACGAATCAATCTTTTCAAAAGCAAAAGTAAACATTCGACTGTAGAGAATTGGATTTGGATACCCTATCATTTTCTTCAATGTAAAAAGAAAACTCTTTATCGTAAAATTAACTAATCGCAGTAATAATCAGCTACGGATCCTAATAGATGGAGAAAATAAAGATCATGAATTTTAACAAGTGTCCATTATATTAATCAAAACGAGAGGTAATCCATTGTTTTAATCATCACTGTGAATTAAAAACAAAAAGGGTCATGATCCATAAATCTCATTGGAAAATTAAAGCAACAATGGATGTCACCATATGTGGAGGTATAATAATTATCATCACAGGGATAATCATAAATGAATTAAAGAAGTCAATTAAATTACCCAAAAAGACAGATAGAAATAATTCATTTAATGGTTATTATGAATCCATCTAAGCAAAAAAGAGAATCATGTGAATTTCTAAAAGCAAGTGGGTTCAAGATAATTAATTCTGCTGTTGCTTGAGGAAGCCTTTGGCTTTAAGACTATCCACTGTGTCCCGAACAGCATCTTCAACTGGGGTGAAAACTAGTCCCAAATCAATCAATTTTTTAGCAGCATCTTTGCAAGACACCAAGCCTGGCTGGGTTTCGCCTGTGAACCTGTTTTCAAAATTTTATTCAGCATTATTTGAGACAAGACCAGACCTATCATAAGAAAAGGAATCTTTTTTCTTATAAAAATATGGTAAATTATGCAATCGAAACTAAGACAAGAGAGAAATTCTCAAAAGGAAAATATAAAAGCTTATTTTCTGATTCAACTTTATGTGTCTTGCCTGACTCCATCACCTAGATTTATGGTCCTTTGCAACTAGTATTCTAGCAGAGTTACTGTCAGCCTTTCAATTTGACGAAATAATATTTCAAGGAGTAAATAAAAGTATATAATAAAGGAAATCGTTGGTAAAGTGGCCACTAGTTTTGCACATGAATTTGTAGAAAAGCACATTCAATGCTCATGAAAATGCAGTCCACAGTCAATCTGGTTATAAGTCATAGCTAAATAAATGCAGTTAGGAGACATTTCAATATGAGGCACATGGTAGTTAGGAGCGAACAGATGGTTAATAGATCATTTTCATTCCCATTGGAAAATCCAGACACTCTAGCATAAACAGACAAATTGGATTGTACTGAAATAAAATTCGGACATGAGGAGTTCATAAAGCCAGTTTCTTGCTTATGAATTGCCTAATGGCCCTTATCAAATAAAGTTAAGCTGATTAAGCTTAAATTATGAAAATGTTACATAACTAAGAACATGCTGAGGCAGAACTTCAGCAACATGTCTCCATCGAAAAACTAATCAGGATAACGAGAATAGAATCTCCAAAAGGAAGTATAAGCTCAATGGGAAACATGGAAGGTGACCAGTGGGACTTGGAATGGCTATAGATGTAGCTAGCAGTTCATAGTGGGGTTTCTTTGGGTTGCCTATCAGTTTTGTAGTGGGGTTGTTAAGGCCTAGATAACATAAAGGTGGTCTTGATTCTTGACAGTTGTGACTTTTGCATGTGTGAGCAATTGGAATTCCTCTAAGCTAATACTGAAGGTGGGGGTCAATGCATCAAATGAGAGCAATATATACCTATACTCCTAAAAGTTAGGTTTTTACTGCAAAATTTAGTTCATGCCAAAGTGGTGACAGTGGCAGCTCCTGCTTTGCCCCCCCTTCCAACCACCCCTCTACTATAAACCATGTAGTAGTTGATTCTATACTAAATGAAAGTATTATTGCCTACAAATATTTAGTAGTCGCTCCATTATATCACTTACCAATCTTGTATGAAATGTAGGAACACAATGCTAATAGATTTTTCTACATAGTATAATAGTCTACCTCCCATTTTCATTGGACCTACTTCCTATTTTCTACAACAATTTCTATGAATATAAACTAAACTTCTTCACACTATTTCAAACTTACCCTTAACATCTTTTTCACCTTAACCTATTATTGTGGGTGATTGAAAGCTCTGCCTTTTTCACATCTCAAAATAATGTTTAAACATTTAACCTTATTCAGTAATATAACATTCAGACATGTTACTCGTAATCTATCTGAAGTTCAAATGGTGGCTGATTAAAGGGACGTAGGAAGTAGCTTGAAATGTAAAACTGAAGTAATTAGTTGAAATACGTTTTATCGATTTTGAAATAAAATAAACTAGTGTTAATTTAATTATTAATTGGAGGTGTTGGTGCACAAAAAAAGCCCGTTTAAAGGAAAAGTTCAACCTTTTCAAGCAAGCCAGAGCAAAAGTAAGTGATTTCCATTGAGCTAGAGGAAGTAGCGTGGTGATAAAAGTGATTGTCTATATGTAGTGCCGAAGAAAGTCTTGTAACTACATCTTTTAAGTAACTACCGAAGTTCTCCTCCCAAATTTTCCAGCTAGATATCAGTTCTTAAGGACTCAAACCTGTTCATTTCATACAGTTCAAATGTAAAACAATACAAAATCTCAGTTTTATCATTATCTAGTCAAAGGAAGCATAGCTGCATCTGTGCTTTTGACTTGTGCGGTAAACAAGTAACTAGTTGGCTATGTAAAATTCAGTGTGATAGAACTTAGAATTTTATTTGTTGGGACGAATATAGGACTGGATTAACAAATGTGAATTCATGGCTTTCCATCAGATTTACTCCAGGCTTTTCAAAAGTCTGAAACAGAATCCATATACTGATATACGTGCTATTTTTGCCAACAGTTGGGAGAAGCAGTCAGAGAAGATTAAACTTGAGGATGGCATATTATCTTTGAATTGAATGCGGAAAGAGACTTAAAAAGAAATTACTTACTAGAGAGGGGCAAAAGATGAACTAAAAGATATGACAACAAACCTGTGGATAGGGAATTCATGGTAAAGTTTTGAGACTCTTTCAGCAAAATCACCAAACTGGTAAATGCCATTGGTACACAGGTGTCTTCCAGAAGCATGAGGGGACTCGAATAACAAAATCTGTGCCTTCGCAACATCTTTGACGTGCACAGCCCCCAACCAATGATACTCTTGAGTGTCTGTCGATCCCTGAAGCAGCTGTTGCAAAACAGCGCAGCTTGCATTCAGTCCAGGTTGCAAGAGTTGACCAAGACATGTAGCTGGATTAATTGCTACCACATCCAATCCATTCTTCTCAGCAAATTCCCATGCAGCCTTCTCAGCAAGTGTCTTTGAAACTGGGTACCATTTCTGTCATCAAACTCGATTATGATTATTGTGTTTAAGAACTCTTCGCCATGTAATCAAATAATTAAAGTGGCATATGAGTGATAATTTTATCATATATGTTCATCACAGAATCAGGAACTGTCAAGTTTTGAATCCTTACAACTTTTCTAAAATAACAGTAATCTTAGAAGTTAAGGAAATCAAAAAGAAAGCGTTCGTATATTAGGACATGGTAAATAATTGAGTGCATTACCCTCGACAAAATTGGAGTGTACAAGAGTATAAGAGTTTAGAGTAGTGGATACGCACGCAATAATCTCATATAAGCCTAAAGCTCTGCAATAAGTAAAATAACTGAGATATATAAATTTGATACACTAATCACTTCGGCTGACCATTATACTACTAGTATGTACAAAGTTAAATGAAACACATATTAGGCAGTGTTCCTCTATTGGAATGTCAATTATTTTTGCTCAATCTTCTCTTTGTGTTATTTCATCATGCGTTCAATTATTATAGACCAACACAAATTAAAACCAAATGGCATCGTTTATTATTAATAGAACTAATTCCAATTTTTACAATACCAAATTGAAAACAATGTTGTTTATAGTAAAAAATTTATACATGTAAATAATACTTATACCTCGTAAAACTAAATTGGAAAACAAATACTAGTAGTAGAGAACACATAATAGTAAGCTGCATAATTTTTCTTTTTAAGACACTAAACTGCATAGTTGCACGTAAAACTCCTGCATATTTTAATGTTTTTGAGCACTACAGGTTAATTGGATATCCAAATTAAATATGGTGCAATAACGATCTTAGTGAGAGTGATGCAGATTTGGGAGCATAGTCAATCATATACGAGAATAAATTTAAC